GGCCCATAGTAGCCCCTGCCGTCCCTTCATGCTGCTTGAGACCTGGACTGGTCCAGCACCAGCCATGGAGACCTCGCCAGCCTCCCGGCCGGATACCTAAACTCCCTCTTTCGCTCATCCACATATTAGGCTTGTTTTACTTTAATGATAAAAAGAAAATGCCCCTGCCCTCACTAGCATGTATGATTTTGGATAAGCTCCTGCTTTATTACCCTAAATCTACTATCAGCATTTTACTGGAACTAAATCCAATACTTATTCGTATTGGCAAGTTAATTTAGCTGAGAGAAGGTTCCTTATTTCTTGCAAACAACAGACCATAAACGTAATCCAGCTGAAAGTTACTTTCAAATTGCTACATTTATAAATAGGAGTATCACTAAAGGGAAGTAAGAAAAGTGGTAGATAGCATTTAGGGCCTGAAGTTTACATTGCTCAGGCCAACAGATTTATTCTAAGGCAGAAAAACCTATGCACTTGGGCAGGGCCGGTGCAAGGAAGTTTCACGCCCTAGGTGAAACTTCCACCTTGCGCTCCCCGTCCCCAGCCCTGCGGCAGCTCCCCGCCCACCCTCCGCCCTGAGGTGCTCCCCCGTGGCAGCTTCCCCCCACTCCTGCCCTGAGGCGTCTGGGAGGCGGGAGAAGTGGAGCAGCGACGGCATACTCGGGGAGGGGGCGTAGCAGAGGTGAGCTGGGGTGGGGAGCCCTGCGGCAGCTCCCCCTCCCTGCCCTGAGGCACACCCATGGCAGCTCCCCACCCCCCCAGGCCCGGAGAGTCGTGCGGCAGCTCCCCACCCCAGCTCACCTCTGCTCTGCCTCCTCCCTAGCACGCCGCCCCCGCTCTAATTCTCCTCCCCTCCCAGGTTTGTGGCGCCAAACAGCTGATTGGTGCTGCAAGCCTGGGAGGTGGGAGAAGTGGAGCGGTGACCGCACGCTCGGGGAGGGGGCGTAGGAATGCTGTAAAAGCAAATTGGGGGCACCGCTTTTTGGCACCCCCAAATCTTGGCACCCTAGGCAACCGCCTAGTTTGCCTTAATGGTAGCACCGGCCCTGCACTTGGGAAAATATTTCTGAAGAACTGGAGTTCCCTGTTTTGTGATGGGGGCAGAAACAAACAGTGAAGTATGGTACTGTACCTTACTGAAAAGTGAAAAAAATATACATTAAGTACATAGAAACACAAATAAGACACTTTTTTGATAGTAGGTCATTTCTAGACCTCTCATTTTTATGAGTGCAGCAAAAAAGAGGTTGCTACTGTTTAATGGTGGACAGACAGCTAACTACATGAATTGAAGCAAACAAAATCTTTTTTGGCCTCAACTGGCAAAGAGAAGGGACTGTTCCTTCCAGGAGTGCTTAAGAATCGCGCACAAGCTAGTATATATTACACTAAGCTTCACATTTCCCATTATAAATGGTATCTAAAGTATCCAGACTTCCCACAGCAAAGGTTAAGGGCAGAACATGAATGCTCACTTCCCATTTCCTTTAATTACTCAAGATTCTAAATCTCAGGCCTGGAACAATCTAGAGCTTTCACAGGAAATGAAGGAGGCAAATATTGAAAGGTCACATTTAAAATCAGAGTAGTTTTGGTAGAATGTGTATCAATGCCACCCAGACTGATTCTGGGGTCTGAGGCTGGCCTGTGTAATCAGTCATGACACAAACAGACAGGATTTGTAACAGCTCCATGTGGTAGGAGACTAGCAGCAGGTTTCTGTCTGTGTCAAATTGTAAGTGACTAAATAAACAGCTTCTTGTTCTGCCTGTGCCTCTGGGAAGCAGAGTATCATAATTCATCCATCATAGCAAGTAAATCATCTCCCTTGCTTGTGCTCTGTCTGGGCTGATCTGTCACCTCAAACTCTCCCATGATTCGAGCCAGCTCCTCATTCTGCTGTTGGTCCTGTTGAAAATGAAAACAAAACCCCGACATCTAAATCCTTAATTTCACAATTATTGTCAGTGTAACTCTGTTCAGAGAGTTCATCTCAAGATTTAAGGTGCAAAATTTGACTACATTTAGAACTGTCATCATAACCTTAGAAAAGCCCTCAGCGTTCTGAATTTTATGTATTTTAACCTAAAAAGTATGTTTAAGAAAAGATACTTTTCAATTACTGAGAAATTAACTAAACCCCTGATGAACCACCAGTTTTTTAAACACTACAAATAAAAACAAGTGTTAGCTCCCTTCTCCCCCCATTCGTTAATTATAACACTGGCCATTGCTTTTCCCTTAAAATAGCTAATGATGGAGCCTGCCCTTGCAGTTTTACCCCGTGCAGACCACAGGACTGGAATCAGAATACAAAACTCAGGTGACATACTTAAGTATGTGAGGATCTGTAGCTGTAGGGCAATAGGAGCGGGCAAATGGTCCATCGGGTCTGCCTTCTCTAGCCTATGTATTTGTAAAACTTGGTGCTTTGGCAGGTGAGTAAAGGAGATACAGTTGCAAATATCTGCTATATTTCTAATTCTATTACTTCGTAATTGCTAAGTCTGCACATAATTTCTATTACTTATTTGTGATCTTAACTGGGTTTTGTCAAAATACATTAATATTTTCAAAATTTATCAAATTCATCTTTAGGGTAAAATTATTTTCTCAGAAACAAAGAGATGATAAAGATCAACGATCTGAAATACACTATACATACCTGTAAAATGACATGCATCTGACGAAGTGAGTATTCACCCACGAAAGCTTATGCTCCAAAACGTCTGTTAGTCTATAAGGTGCCACAGGACTCTTTGTTGCTTTTTACAGATCCAGACTAACATGGCCACCCCTCTGATACTTGACTCTATACATACCTGGGTTGCTTGGATGTTGATAACTTTGTAAGACAACTCTTCAGGCCTGGTCAATGCTGCATGTCTGATTGAAAGCATAAAAAAAGTTTACTTAATCTCATGTATGATAGATAGGGGAATGAAGGGGAAAACATCTGGTTGGTTATTAATTTACTGAGCATCCTTCTTCATATGGCAACCCCTGCACATCCATGAGATGCTAGTATTTCTCTAATACAAAACACATCCAGCTAGCTTTAACTTTAACTAATCAGACAATGGAATGGCAGCCTTCCCCTGCTCCCCACAGACAGAAAATAAATCCTTTATCAAAGAGACTAGGATGATTAGAGCTGAGAGACCAGATTACCTGAATTGTCATTAAGGCTATAATAAAGCACTTATCTTGTGAAATGTTTATTTGCTTAAAAGGAGCTGGAGGGAGATTGGTAATGGGAGAGTACTTCAGTTCAGGCACAGGTTCAAATCTATCAGGTCACTAGTGACCAAAAGTCATTATCATCCAATGGGGAATTAAGAAGCCTCAGTCACTTTATAGTGGAGAAGACTCCATGTTACAGCTGCCCCCCCCAACCTGTGCTAACTGGATTTCTGGTTGGTAATTTCAGAGGCCAAGGTGTGAACACACCAGAGAGACTGAGCCCCTCTCTTGTCCCTGGAGAGGATCCATCCAGGTCAGGACTGAGCCATAATAGAACGCTTGCCCTGTGCTGTACCTTCGCTTTAGAGAAAGGGCTTCAGTCTCCAGGACTGTCAATGCTGAGCCTCTCCCCAGTCCCAAAACCACACACACAAAATTGCATTGGAATTAAGCATACTCTTCTTCCTCATCTGTTGTGAATAGGTTTAATCGGAATCCCGGCTCACTGCCATTGGGTTTCTTGATCTCCAGGCCTCCCATTAGTCTAGCCAAAAAGTTCAGTTCTTCTTTAGCAAGAGGGTTAGGGGCTGCATTCTCCTGCAGAAAACAATCATGGATTCGTTGGATGGACAAACAGAAAAAGAAGGACTATACTCGTTTTGCTGGTTCCTGGTATTGTGAAGGACAACATTTTTCAGTGTTATTATTATTTAATATTTTATATTATAGAAGTAATATGGTGGATGACTGATGTTTAGCGCATATGGACTCAAACTGAGGTTACACATACAGGACAAAATAATTTCCTGGCTAAATCAAACTGCTGAAAAATCTGTAAAATGAACTTCCAATTGTTTCAGTAGGTCAAACAACTGATTAGGGAAAACAACAACAAAGATTTTAGCATGCATAAAGATCAGGACAGAGAACAATACAGAAAAAATTATATAACCATGATATAAACCACTGGTAGCCTCCTCTAATATGCTCTGGTCACCCCATGGCAACAAGGACGGTAAAAAATTGGAGGGAGTTCAGAGAAGGCTAACACCACAGAGGCCTGGAAAAACTATCCTATACACAGAGCCTGAAGAGACTGGGATTGTTTACCTGAGAAAGGAAGATGAATAGGAGGGATCGTGATAAAAGTATATAAAATAATTAATGGTCTAGAAAAGGAAGGTTGGGAGCTTCTGTTCTTAATGTCTCAAAAAAGAACAAGGGGAGATTGAATGAAACTAAAAAAGGTGGCAAATCCAAAACTGATAAAAGGACATACTTCTTCACATAATGCGTATTTAGACCAAAATACTTTTTGCCACAGAATGTCACTGACATCAATAACTTAGTAAAGCATGAAGGGGATAGAAGGACATCCGACCTTTGTGTGGGATGCCAAAGTCTTGGATGCTCCTGACATATGTGTCTCTACTGGCCGACTAACACTGTACCTAGAGGGAAAAATAAAAGAGTTACTGCATGCAGGGAAAAAACAGTCAGTTCCTGTGCACAGGGGAGGAGCCAGAGAGACATCTCTATCTGCATAGGATCAAAATATGTTTTCTGGATGATAAAGTTATATCCATACATTCTTTTCTGGAGACAGTGAATAACTGGAATGAGCAGTTCTAATTCAGTTTTCTAACAGACTGACTGTGTTAAAGTGCTTGAGTGAAGAAAAGTACAGATGGGCAAAGAGTACTCCTAACTCTTCTTTCCTGAATGGTAAAATTATTCAGAAGAAATCTATGTCATCAAAAGTATTCCCTGAATGCAAACTAAGTGATAATTACATGCAGCTCACAGAACGTGAAGGACTAAACCAGATCCAGTCATTCCTCAACTCTGCTGTGGACAGGAGTTGAGATTTTGCTGTTTCTTTTTGGGGCTATTTATATATATCCATACAGAGCTACTGCTAGTTGTGTTGTTCTCCTCCCAAGATGACATCACTAAACTAAAGGTGTCAAGTTGATAAAGAGCTGCAGATGTGGCATAAACAAGCCAATGAGATACAAAGACTGAAGACATATTTTCCTCAACAAAACAAGAGCCATTTATCTTCAAGGCTGACCTTCAGCAGGTTTTATTAAGAATTTTATGTGTAGTTTCTATGTAGGACAGTTTACTTACATGTTTGTCCCCAGTTTAAGCACTCTGTCTCCATAAAGATCAAATGAACCTTCCCTTTGTGGACTGATATAATTTCCACCATTGGTGAATTCAACCCTTTTAACTTCATCTCCATTGCAATTAAACATCCTTAAAGGAATAAAAATAAATCGTTGTTATCTCAAGATATTTAGTGATGCTCTTTAGTGCTGACTTGCTTTGCTCTTCATACTGGAGGAGGGGGAATCAAGCTCTCTTTTGTCAAATGTTTGATACTACTATAAAAACGACTAAATTGATAAAGGGCAGCGGTGTAATTTTAAAAGAATAAATAAGGGGCACTTTGCTGGAACAGGAGATTACAGAGGGAATACTCAGCCTTTAATTGTCAGATCACTTGTTCCAAATCCTGAGCTATATAAGTAATTAATGCCCAACAGATATTCAATGATCTATGCAAAATGAATGATAGTTTTGGTGCACTTCCCGCTAGACAAGTATTCTCATTACAGTTGGTACCAACTGCTCCTTCGTGGGCAGCCGTGCACACTGGAGGAGCTGCATACATAATAAATAATGGTCTAGAAATCACCTGATGAGTCCTGGAACTTCTGTTCCCCATGGAACAGGACCTGATATAGGCAGCACAAAGCGACCATTCGAGTTTTGTACTTTATCCTTTAGAAAGATGGAGACCTGCAAAGAAACACCCCACCCACAAAAATACCAGTCAAACGACTCCGAATGTAAATCACTTGGAGCCTGATCCTGCAGACTTCCTGCATGGTAATTCCTGCCAAAATTAAATGAAGGCTGATATTTGAAAGGACTGTGGGATTGGGCCCACAGTAGTCATATTCTAGTCATCGCCCACAGACTGGAACTATTAATCTAACTTTAACTGATCATACTCAAATGAATAAAACTGAACCCTTTATTTTATTTAGGAATGTCAAATCCTTCTGTCAATCCCCAGTTTTTCATGGTTTCTTAGTCAAGCCTTTAATTAAAAAGAAAAATGTTTGTCAGTTGAGTTTGTACATAAACAGATATCTTTGGGTTTGTGAAATCTCCCAGTAATGAAACACCCAAGTCCAGAAAACAATCTGTATATTAGTATTTAAAGAACTGCAGCTGAGTATGGGCAGTTGCTTTTCATACCATTCTAGTGAATGGGATGTTCATTTAGTAAAAACTATTGGGCACACTTGTTATTTATATTGTGCTCAGTTTTTAGAGTTACAGAGAGATCAAGCACATCAATGTAAATTACAAGCCCAAGCAGCAAAAACACAACTGTTTCAAACTAATGTAATTATAACAAAATACCTACATTTTATTGCCACAAAATCAAACTCACTGTTTTTCTTATGGGCTAATGAAATGGGACACTTACCCTAATGTGCATGTCCTGAAAGAAAATGAGGAGTGTTTGCCTGATCAGCTGAAATTCACCAGCAGAGAGACAACTGTACATCTAGAGAACAGAAAAGAAATTATAACTGTACTGTTTCTAAGCTGTTCTGTGAATGACCTGTCCCATCTAGTCAAATGTGGCCACAAAAATGTCAAAACTGTGTTGCAAATAAAAATCAATAAAGGGCAGTGTGGTATGCAGTCATTGTTAACAAACCAATTCCAAATTCATTTCCTACTGAAGTCAATGGAAAGACTTACACTTCAATGGGAACTGGACTGGACCCTAAATAAATAAATAGCTTAAAGTGAGCAATATGAAAACAACACTGGAATTCTAAACTGCTCAGTCTCAAGAAGTGTTTTTAAAACACTTCAGAGCCTTCCTTCACCATTATTTATTGTTAGATGATATCAGTCACTAAATTCCCTTCCAAAGAAATACAATTTAGGGTTAAAAAAAGTCTTTCACTGGGATAGTTATATTTGTGGTTCCAAAAAGATTAGGAAAAGTTAGTAAGTGAAAACCAAATCTATTTCCCTCAGGTTCAAGAGGGGAGCAGAATGATTTGAGTTGTTCCCTAAGGGTGAAAGAAAAGTTCCACACTCAATGAGCCACTCATTAACGTGGTATTTAGCATCTTTAAAATTATCTGAAAAAAAGTGAAAAAACAAACAGCGGTGAGGTCCATGGTTCATCCAATAATTGGGCTCTTACGTCGATTAGCTGCCGAAATGTTTCGTCCACTTGGTTAAGAATATTAGGGGAGTCTCGTATAAAATCCTTGATAGCATCCAGATGATTGAAAGTGACTAGCAGTATGTCTTTGGGTCGAGGACAGAGCAGAACTTGGTATTTGAAAGCCATAGTCATAAGATCATAGAGCTGTAAAATAATGCAGGGAAATCTAGTTAGATCAAAAAACCTAAGTTAGTCATCATCTGGTGCAAATCCCACTGTCAAGTCAAGTTTAATCTGGAAAGTGATTTTGAAAACTCATCCCAGTACCTGTATGGTAAGAGCTCTGATCTTTTATTCCTTTGGTAGATTTTATTCATACCTGTTACATGCAGAATTTAATTTTTAGTATCTAAACCCATAGGGTAAAGTGTTCACAGGGGCTTCCCTCAACCTCCTGAGTTATAGCCACTGTTATTTGCATGTAGAAATACTCTTTACAAGCACACATTCAGGTATTTGCACATACAAAATTGAGGGTATGAATCTGGAGATGCCCAAATAGTAATAAGCATATACACAGTTATAATTAAGACACATCTAATGAATACCCCAAATCAAACACTTTCACATTATCAAAGCAGAAACAGAGAGTTTGGAATTTGTTGTTGTTTTGAGTTATCTTAATGTGTCTGATACTATAGGTATATTTTCTAATACCTTTCCTGGGAGGAAACTAGGAGGAACTTTTGCAAGGAGGTTTTCTGTCACAAAATGCTTGATCAATTAGAATGATATACAAAAATTCTACTGCAATCAACACCCAGTGAGAAGCAGCATCAAAGAAAGCAACAAATGGCTTCTAATATCTAGAATAATTGATGAGGGGAAGACATTCTTTTTACCTTATCCATGCTCGCCTGGTTCAGCCTCATGATTGAAGCATGAGCCAGCCGGTCATACACTGTTCTCAGGGCCTTCTTGGAATAGAGTTCCTGTGGTTTAAACAGCTCTTCCATGAACTTTTTATTGAACATGGTTGTGATGATATCATTCATAACTGTAAAGACAAAAGAACCCATTCTGTTGATTTTCTATACTGACAGACTTCAGAAATAGCTAATGCTCTATTTTGTTCCACATGGAGGACACAGACAGTTGGGTGTGCGAGGATTCATATGAATTGTTACCTATGCAAACCACATACAGAGCCACAAGAGAAAAAAATACTGGTATACTATACCAGCAAAGCACTTCTAGTGTGGACGCAGCTAAACCAGCCAAGCTGTCCTTTGCTATAGAGAAACAAACTATACTGGTAAAAGTGAAGTTCTGCCAGTATATATGCATCTACACTAGGAGCTTTTGTTGGCACAGCTCTGTGGGTCAGGGATCACACCTCTTCACCCCTGCAAATGACAGAGCTGGGCTGGCAGAAGTCTGCAGTATAGACCTAGCCATAGGCAACAAACACGTTTTTTCTGATGGGAATAAGATTCTTTTTGGTGCATTGTTTTTTAAGTCATGTCTATCACTTTTATTATTTTTTTATTTAAATTAGAAATGTCTGGTTCTGTGAACAGGCTGATACTGCATCTAATGCCTATTTAGCTGTTATTCTGCTCCACAGGGAAAGCTTTGTGGTTCTAAATTATATTAGACTTTCACATTACCATCTTAAAATAAATTATAGTCAACTGAATCTTTTTCTCCCTTTAGAAATGTAAGAAATCAATTTCTTTTCCTCTTTTTAACAGAAGTCTTTCAAATGATTCAAGGTTCATTGTCTGAAGTTTTTGTGTTGCACAGATTTGGATTTTTGGTGGTAAGGAAAGCATTTCAAACACTGGCACCACTGGAAGATAATACTGAGCTCTTCCACTGTGATTTTCATATGAGAATCTCAAAGCACTTCAAAACATTTATTAAGCTTCACAACAACCTTATGAATAGTACCTTTTTATATATGTATATTGAGGCACAGAGCTGTTAAGTGACTTACTCAAGAGGTGCAGTGACAGAGCAAAGAACAGAACCATGGAGTCCTGCCTCGCAGAGCTTTGCTCTAATCATCAGAGTACACTGCTTTTCTGAAAAGGTAGACACTAGGGACAAATTTAGCAGTGATACAAGGAGGCGCAACTCCACTGTCTTCAATACTGAATTTGGCCCTAAACTTTATATCACAAACACTCACTTCTCACTATGGAAATGCTGAATGAAAGCTAATATTGTAGTCCATACCAAGACTACAGAGCAAGGATTAAGCCTCTTCTAAGCAGATGACCACTACCAAAGATAGTGATGCTAGCAAATTCAAACAGGATTACAGAAACCTCTGGGCAGAAGTCAGAGAACAAAGAGATACTTGGTGGTAGTGATTAGTTATATAAATACTGACATTATTTCTTATTGGTAGAGTTAGACATGCACGCTCACTATTGGGGGGGCAGAGGGTGGTGAGTGGGTCTACTGCAGTGCAGCAGAAGCTATGTAGCAGCTATTTTCACCTTCTCTGGCGCTAAATAATACTGGAAACTTAGTTAGATATCCAGGGCAGTTGCTAGGTACCATTCAGGTGCCGAGAAGCTGGAAACAGATCATTCAGGGTGCTGGAGCGCAAGTCATTACTGATGCAATTCCCTCTATGCTTGCTTGGAGGTAATATTTACAAAGATGCAAAACAGTATTTCCCCTTGTGGGCATCTTAAGACATTTCATAGGACCCCAATCTATTCTCAGCTTCTAAGAAGCAGTGACCCAAATAAAAGTAACTACGATTAAAAGATTTTTCTTCCCCCCACTGCCTACCTTTGGAATGTACTGTCCATAAAACATTTTATTTGTCAATCCTAGCCAGAATCTTAATCCAACATCCCTTTAGGAATGAAGAAAATCCAATCCAATGTCAATAAGTATCAGTCATTACATATTTTATTTTGCAGCTGGTCAGACATGAAAAAAATCAGACCTTCTGCCCCATGGCAACACTAACATGAATATTTTATAGCGGTTTGCACACATTGCACATTTTTTGTGCCCATCAAGATCCATTAAGGTTACCAAGGCCATTCAAACAGGTAGCAGAACAATCCTATTTAGAGTTGCAACAATACTCAGTCTCTCTATAAGTGTTTTACAATGGAATGAAATGGGATGACTTGTATTAACCACACATCAAGCCTTACATAAATTAATTCCTGCAATTAAAACCATTCACATTTCTTAAAATAGAGCTATGAAAGAAACAAATATTCAATGTAAAAAGGGCACAGCCAACCCCAGTATCATTCAAAAACCAAACACACTTCTGATAGTGAAACGTGGTATTAATTTCTTTATAGGAACTAAAGACCATAGTCTTGGATCAAGCAAAGGGATCCCAGAGTGTAGGTTCTCCCAAGGAGAACATGTTAGCCATTCGAGTTTAGGAAAAAACAAACAAACCAGAGGTGTGTCAGCCCAGGGATAAGGACACTCTAAGCAGTGCAGCACAAAGGCAGCTAGGCACAGAGGGAGCTGAGCAAGCAGGACCAGGAAAGGGATCCAAGTGCAGACAGGAGACATCCCCACAAAGAGAGAATGCAATGGGCGAGAGAGAAGAGGGAGGATTCATAGAGGTTTTTCCATAATCATGTCACATCATTTGTGACCCATACATCTCAGTTTCTAATGCAGTTTAACGAGAGATGGCTCACATGCATGACAGGAAGCAGATAACTTTCTGTCTTGATAAAGCTCATGCTTCCTAGATTACACATTCAAGTCAGCCAAAGGAATAATCCAAGACCAAAACACTTACACATTTTTACCTGCAACAAGTTTCCATTTAAAACAAAATCCAGGTACACAACTGCTGACAACCAAGGTTATAACTCACTCCAGCTGTGAACAACAGACACATACACGTTCACATTACAGTCTGCCCACTACTAATTACTGCTTCAGGCACCAGTCCCTGGTGACATTTGACACCGTTGCAGCAGCTCCTTTAGCTGCTCATTGTGTAAACACGAACAATTGTATATTCATGATAAATAACTGAAGTAAATGAAATAGATGAGGATGGGTGAATCCTGAATCATCAGATCATCAACCTTGTGATTTTGGACTGTTGACAGGTCAGGGATCATTCCTTTTAATAGTAGCATCCAGCAATGGATACAGTATGTTTTTACTGTATAATCCTTGCACATTGGAAGTATTAAAGCTTTACTGATTGATCTATGTGGAATCCACATTTGTGCCTTGACCATATAAATATGAAAAGCAGGTGGTTTTATCCTCCGCATCCCACTTTTGAATGTGTTACAACAGAGCCCTACAGAGCCTTTTGATATGTTAGTACATTTTAAATGCTGCAAGAACATGTAACTGCACAAAACACATTGTGGAGCCACAGAAAAAAACAGAAGCAAACTCCAGCATATTCACATATCAATATCACTTGAACACTTAGGTATAGGGCTGTCAATTAATCGCAGTTAACTCACGCGATTAACTAAAAATAAAATCAAATTGTGATTGAAAAAATTAATCGCAATTAATCGCACCTATAACATGAAATTTATTAAATATTTTCAATACTGATTTCAATGACAACACAGAATACAAAATGCACAGTGCTCACTTTAGATTATTATTTTTGATTACAAATATATGCACTGTAAAAATGATAAACAAAATAAATAGTATTTTTCAATTCACCTCATACAAGTACTAAAGCAATCTCTTTATTATGAAAGTGTAACTTACAAATGCAGATTTTTTTTTTGGTTACATAACTGCACTCAAAAACAAAACAGTGTAAAACCTTAGAGCCTACAAGTCCACTCAGTCCTACTTCTTACTCTGCCAATCGCTAAGACAAACAAGTTTGTTTACATTGACGAGAGATACTGCTGCCTGCTTCTTATTTACGTCACCTGAAAGTGAGAACAGGCGTTTGCATGGCACTTTTGTAGCTGGCATCAGGAGCGTCGCCAGCTTTTCTGCCACCCTGAAATGCTGCCCCCCACAGAGGCGGCGGAAGGTCCCACTGCCGAAATACCGCTGCGGTTGCCGCCCCCCAAATTGTAGTGCCCTAGGTGACCGCCTAGGTCGCCTAATGGGTTGCGCCGGCCCTGGCTGGCGTTGCAACGTATTTACATGCCAGATATGCTAAACATTTGAATGCCCCTTCATGCTTCGGCCACCATTCCAGAGGACATGCTTCCATGCTGATGATGGGTTCTGCTTGATAATGATCCAAAGCAGTGCGGACTGACGCATGTTCATTTTCATCATCTGAGTCAGATGCCACCAGCAGAAGGTTGATTTTTCTTTTTGGTGGTTTGGGTTCTGTAGTTTTGTAAACAAGTAAAGAAGCAGGCAGCATCATCTCCTGCAAATTGTAACCAATCTTGTTTGTCTGAGTGATTGACTGACCAAGAAGTAGGACTGAGTGGACTTGTAGGTTCTAAAGTTTTACATTGTTTTATTTTTGAATGCAGTTTTTTTTTACATATTTCTACATTTGTAAGTTCAACTATTGTGATAAAGAGATTGCACTACTGTACTTGTATGAGGTGAATTGAAAAAGAATGTTTTTTTGTTTTTTACAGGGCAAATACTTGTAATCAAAAATAAATATAAAGTGAGCGTTGTACACTTTGTGTTCTCTGTTGTAATTGAAATTAATGTATTTGAAAATGTAGTAAACATCCAAAAATATTTAAAATAAATGGTATTCTATTGTTGTTTAACAGCGTGATTAATTGCGATTTTTTAAATCACGTGATTAATCACGATTAATTTTTTTAATCGCTTGACAGCCCTACATAGTGAAGCACCTTAGCTAAATGTACAGAGAAAGCTGAAGGCTTTATTCTGAAAACTGCGAATCATAACTATTAAAAGGAAGCTGCTTAAAGAGGTGTTGGGCCCTGGAAACTGGAGACTAATTAAGATCAGGAAAGGTAGGGGATTAGGGAATTGGGAATATCCTGACAGAAATACAGCTATGCAGCATACATGATTACTGCCTGCATTTTACACATGAACAATGCTCACAGAACTCATGCAGTCATATGCTTGTATTTCTGTAAGGTTAATCAAC